ACATACACCAGGTCACCCTCATCTCATTTTGCCTCATGATCGAATTGATAGTGCTCGGCACAGTTCAACTTCCCCTAATTATTTTATAAAATAGATGAGACGCAGCTGCTTCTAGCTCTAGCGCCAATGCAGTTGAAGCCCGACGTCTTTGCAAACTCTCGAACAACTGATCGCTTCCACGACTCCCTCCTCCCGCCTCCTCCTCCCCTCTCCTTCCTGCATCCGGCGGCCGAACCAGTGGTTCTCTCCTGAACTACTTTTCCATAAAAAAGCGATATAGAGACAGTTCTAGAAAAGAAGATTAATAAAGTACCTCGGCGAGACAAAGCACCTCGTATTTCGGCAGTTCTTTGAAGGCTGGCATGTCCAGAACAAAATTGTCACGGACAATCCAAAGAACGTTTCCACCGTCGGTGGCTCAACGTAGACCCCAAACACAGTTTCGGATTCGACCAGCAGGATTATTGCATCTCCAAGCAGTGAATTTCGCATGAGCAAGAAGAATCTGAAACTCAAACAGACTTGTGTGATAAGCAAAGTGAGAAATAAGTATGGGAAGGCAGCAGTACGAGGCAACGTAGGTTAGCCCAAGTAAAACCTTTCAAATTGATGTAAAGCGTAATAAAACGAGTCGTACAGATCCAAGTAAAGAGCAAAAGAAAAGACACGAAGAACTTGGCAACCCAGGAAAAATGTTAAACAGTACTCAAGGAGGTAATAGATAAGCACGTAATGACTTTTTTCTCAGGTACCCTTTCCAAAAACAAATCTTATTATTTACTGCTCGTTATTATTATGGTAGGCACGCTAAAACTGATAATGCAGCCACTTACTAACGTTGGATGAGCAAGATCAGGTGTATTATAGCTCACAAATTGAGCCGCTTGCGATTTCACCATTTTAGGAGCGCTTGAACATGCAAACGCATGGCTTAGCTTCTGGGATAACTACGGAACTGCCAACAGAATCATTCCGGGAAATGAACGACACAAAACTGCCTGGCATTCGCTATCGAGCGAGTAAAATACAATATTCATTGGACCATAGGCCACTCCTTTCTTTCACATTATTAAATAACAATAAATTACAAACACATACCTTGGCACTGGGAAGAGTGTTCTCTCTTTGATTCGACGGTACAATCGAAAAAATACGATATCCCTACGTTGTCTAGCGTAATCACGAAATACATTAGTATTGGGGACATTTCCCGGAGTGAGCTCTGATTGTCTCATGGCGCCGTGGACGTTGATAGGCGCTTGCCACGATAGCCCCACAAGTTGTCCACTCCAAAGGATTTATACCAAAAATAATCAATTTTTGGGCTAGCAGAGTCGCTCGCAGCAGTAGCCTCAGTTCCTGAACTGTGCTTGGTACGTCGGCCCTTCTTCGATTCGTCCGCGATCGCAGCCCATCGGCTCTTTCTTCGATTCCTTGAGTACGATCCGACGCTTTGTAAAGTCCAAATACCCTCAAATTTGGGCAATATAATCTTTATCAATAAATGGTAAAAAATAATGGAACTCAAACGCGAAGCGCTAAACACAAATACATAGAACAAATTACTACCCAGGCTGGAACGCACCAGGCGGACCGGTGCGATTATGCGTTTTTGCACTTTTCGTACCGTAGCAAGATCGCAAGGAGTGAATGTAGCTAGCCCTGTGAAATACTGGCCCTCGAAGTTCGGGAAGTCAATTGTGCAACTATGTGGTATGTCAGTTGT